TAATATTGTGAACCTACGTTATACATTTTTTACCACCTGTTTCAGGAAGTGATGTCACTGAGTATTGCCCCTATATATATGACCTTCCACCTGGGATATGGATGCCTGAAGAAGACCACTCAGTTCTCTGGAACTGTCCAGAGCAATAGGAACGCACGGAATCTTGAAATTCTCTGGAAATCCAGAAAAAAGTTTTATAGAAATGCCATATGTATTTAATGTAATATTTGCTCATATGATTTCTTTAAAAAATACATGCAATCTCTTGACTTTTTCTCTCAAATGAATAATAATAATAGCATTATCTTGGACATGTATATAAAAAAAAGTTTTTTCAATAACTCCAGAGAATGACAACCGTTTTCCGTAATTCAGAAATCCCACTAATTAATTACCGAATTTGTATGTGAGAGATGTGAATTGTTAAAAGTCTAACGCAGCTTTTTTTCTCTCTCAATATTAAATCATTTCTGGGTAACATTGTAGTACCTTACTGTGATTATTTTCAATTACATTGGTCAAAAAGAAACAAAAATAGCTTCTTAGCAAAGAGTAATTTCTCAGGCAATAATTTTGCTAGGACTGTCTGGGAGTGGGGAGGGGAAAACTGAAAATTAGCTGTTATTGATAGAAAGGTTTGGAACTCTCTCTTACTTATTGGTCTATTAACTAATTTACCACATGGTGACGTCACAATGGAAGGCCAAAACTCCATCCTACCAAAACAGACTGAAATTTCAGGCGGTCTTTTCAAACAGCTCTTACACTTAAAGGGTATTATCATAATTTTCACAATGTCACCGTATTATCCCAACCTAATAGTGTGGAATTATATATAAAACACAGGGAAATCTAGTTTGACTTCACTGGGCCTTTAACAGTTGGTCTTTCTGAACAACCCTCTACTCAGGCCTAAAAAAAAGTGGGCAGAAAGGTTGAACAAATAACTCTGCAAAATAAATAAGAATATCTATTTTATCGCACCCCATTTAAGAACTGTGTTCTCTGTGAGAGAACAACTGTGACCAAAAGAGCTTGGCTTATTCCTGTCCCACCTATGATACAGACATGTTCAGACATCAGGGATTTAATCATGGAGAAGTTACAGGCTCTCAGGGGCCACTTTCAGCTTGTTTAGAGTACTTTCACCCTCCTCTCCAGCCAGCCACTTTCATCCTGACTGAGATTCTCATAAATAAGTGCTTTTTGAATGCTACCCCCTCCCATCTACTGTACAGTGTACATTATTGATTACTTGTTCTTAACTCCCATTGTTTATTCCAGTGCTCAAGTGGAAACCACTCCTTTCACTCTCGATTTTGTCATTATAATCAGTTGTGACTTTGTCATTCAGTGATTAATATGTAAAAAAAAAAAAAAATGGAGTACCAGTCCGCCACGCTATGAGTTGACATTATGGCTAAGAGATGAAGGAAAGCTAGATGACCTTAAGACAGAAAGAGCAACATACAAGACATGGGCTGTACAGGGGAAAAGCTGGCTGCAGTAAAAAGGAAAAACTGCTTTACATGGTAAACCTCCTCCCTACATCCCTTCTGGCCAATTTGCAGATTATTGTTTGCACATTATCATGCTAAATGTCCTTCAGTTACCAGTGCTTAAACCCATCCATAGAGAATTGAGCTGTGTCATTGTCTGCCTCGAACATGCAAGGTCCCCTACATTCACGCAGTCTCCCCTCACTCACTAGCTTATCTCTAAAAAGTCACTGGGCCATCTCTAAATGTGTCACATTCTCATCGTTCTAGGCTTGACTCACAAGCTCAGACCTATCTCTCCGTCTGTGTATGGGGTTTCTTCCCACTATGATGTATACTGAACAAAAATATAAACGCTAAATGCAACAATTTTACTGAGTTACAGTTCATATAAGGAAATCAGTCAATTGAAATTAATTTATTAGGCCCTAATCTATGGATTTCACAACTGGGCAGGGGCTCAGCCATGGGTGGACCTGGTAGGGCATTGGCCCACCCACTTGGGAGCCAGGCCCAGCCAATCAGAATGAGTTTTTCCCCACTAAAGGGCTTTACTACAGACAGAAATACTCAGTTTCATAAGCTGTCTGGGTGGCTGGTCTCAGACAATCCCGCAGGTGAAGAAGACAGATGTGGAGGTCCTTGGGCTGGCGTGGTTACACGTGGTCTGCGGTTGTGAGGCCGGTTGGACTTACTGCCAAATTCTCTAAAACAACGTTGGAGGCGGCTTATGGTAGAGAAATTAACATTCAATTATCTGGCAACAACTCTGGTGGACATTCATGTAGTCAGCATGCCAATTGCACGCTCCCTCAAAACTTGAGACATCTCTGGCATTGTGTGACAAACCTGCACATTTTAGTGGCCTTTTATTGTCCCCAGCACAAGGTGCACCTGTGTAATGATCATGCTGTTTAATCAGCTTCTTGATATGCCACACCTGTCAGGTGGATGGATTATCTTGGCAAAGGAGAAATGCTCACTAACAGGGAAGTAAACAAATTTGTGCACAAAATAAATAAGCTTTTTGTGCATATGGAAAATGTCTGGGATATTTTATTTCAGCTCATGAAACATGGAACCAACACTTTACATGTTGCGTTTATATTTTTGTTCAGTGTAATTCCAGTTTCAAACAGCAATATTGGGATTCTTTGAAGGGTCAAGGAAGCAAGTCTACTGCAAAGTTGGTTTCTAACAGTACCCATCCAACGTGACAGTAGCCGCTGCAGAGTCCCCAACAACCGGATGTTCCGGTTTTCAGGGGAAATGGAAAAAGAGCATGTGACGCAACTTCTGCTTTTGGACATTAACAAGGCGACACTCCATCTTAACTCCTCCTCCACATTTACTGGAATGGTTGAACAGTGGAGAAGAGAACCTCCCCCGACAGTGTTTTTTCTTCTAGTCAAGACTAGTATATGGGGAATCTAGCTTCAGGTGTTTCTTTAATGCCTGCTACGTTAGCTTAACTAACGTGACAGTAAACAACCAAATTTGAACCAAAAGTGATGTGGGGTAAGCAGGGCACAACACGACAAATATGTACAAGGCGTAGGATAACACTGCAGGGTAAAGGATCCTCTCACCACAATTGGAACAACCTTCTTTCCAGTCGCTTTAATTGTGTGTGTGTGTGTGTGTGTGTAGTTACGAGCCGGTGTAACTGTCAAAATGGAAGGCACTGGACTCTGAATTGAGGTCATTTTTGTCACATTATCAAAAGGTCCATACACATTTAGCCCAATCAGCTTTGAGTGTGTAAGGTCTATTGGTTTTGACAAGACAAGCAGGCGATGCCTTGCTCCCAGGCTGTAACACACATATAGACACTACAGGGAGAAAACCTTTCCATCCGAATTACCTAGGGAGAAGCCATTCTAGTCAGTGCCAGCAGTAATGGAGACAACCAGCAGTGCAAGGACAAGAGGTGGAAGAAGCAGACAGGTCTTTGTAGAAGCGGTTTCTTGTTTAGTGGTAGCTCTGATGCAGCAGCGTTGTCTGGTTAGTAAAGTACGTTGTGTTTTCGCCCTGTCAACCCCATACAATGCACAAAAGCTGTGCTAGCTCTGCTCAGGTGGTCAAAGTGTATTACTCAAGTGGCACAACTGAACTCCATTGGTAAAGCACAATAAAGAAATCAGCTAAATTTGTTAAGTGCAGCAATGCGCATACAGATTCAGTGTTATTATAGAAGAATGAGACATCGAGTGACATTAATAACAGTTATTGTCATAAAAACAAATATAAGCACCCATTATAGTAGTGGCAAAGGAAAACTTTGAATAAAAACTATATTCTTTGTCATCAAAATAGGCAACAGCATGATTCATAAAAATACATCGCTTGTTAAAGGAAATTAATTCCTAATAATGACAGTTCAAAGTTGAGTGTCAGAACCGTGCAGGCTAACAAAATTATAGTTTACATATATAACTGACAAGATAAAGGAAACACCAACATAAAGTGACTTAATAGGACGTTGGGCCAGAACAGCTTGAATGCACCTTGGCATAGATTCTACAAGTGTCTGGAACTTCGAGGGATGCGACACCATTCTTCCACGAGAAATTCCATCATTTGGTGTTTTATTGATGGTGGTGGAAAACGCTGTCTCAGGCACCGCTCCAGAATTTCCCATAAGTGTTCAGTTGGGATGAGGTCTGGTGACAGACGGCCATGGCATATAGTTTACATTGTTTTCATGCTCATCAAACCATTCAGTAACCACTCGTGCCCTGTGGATGGTGGCATAGCCATAGTAGCCAAAATAATGGCCTGCCCAGCATTTTTATACACACCCCTAGGCATGATGGGATGACAATTGCTTAACTCAGGTACCACACCTGTGTGGAAGCACCTGCTTTCAATAGACTTTCTACCTCTCATTTACTCAAGTGTTTCCATTACTTTGGCAGTTACCTGCATCTCTCTTTCTTTGTAATAAGCAAATCACCCCAAAAAAAACAAAGAAAAAATAATAACCACTTGCATGTCTCACAAAAAAAAAGGTTTGAAGGCCGCAGGACATTTTCCTTTTGCTTTTCTTAAATTGTTAAAAGAAAGCAAAAATAGTGCAAGAGGTAATGGTACAATTGGATGCTTAAAGTTGGTGATGCAGATGTGACGCAGCATGATCCAGGAGAAGCGGAGTGGGTCTATCCATACGGAGAGGTCGGACAAACCAGTTGGCGTTTATTCCATTATAACGTCCTCCGTCCCTAAATCAAAACACATCCACTGAAGGGAGCCAGGCTCCAACGGACTAGCTTTTCCATGCTAGACAGAAAAGTTAAACCCCATGATGCCTGACATTCCCCCCAGAATAGAGATCAAACTAAGACAAACAGATATACACAGCGGAATATACCACCTGCGCATGCCTTTTATTTTCAGGGCTGGCACGTCCTCTGTAATATAGAATAATTATCTTTCATTGGTTGGGACGCCCTCCTATCCCGGTGCGTCAGTTAATTTTGTCCCCCCCCATGTCCCCATCTACTAGGTCTGTGAGCCACGGACTGAGGCGTCGCCGTCCGGACTGAGGGCGGCTGGGCGGCCCTGCGCCAACACACTGGCGGTAACAGGGGGCAACTGCCCCACCTCACTCACAAGGTTCTCATACTCGCTGCTGTCATCATCATCATCATCTTCCTCCTCGTCGTCATCCTCTTGCCCTGCGGCCTGTCTGTCCAGGGAGTCAGAGCTGGATCCGTCCCCGTTTCCCAGGTAGGGCGTACTGGGGCTTGGACCAGCACTGAGGCCCAGACCCAGTGGGCTGGGAGAAGGGTGGCCTGGGGAGCCCACAGCCTGGGGCCGGGGGAGCAGCGCAGCACTGGTAGGGGAGGACGAGGAGGGGAGAAGCGAGTCGTCCTGCAAGGAGAGGAAGTCTGCGTAGGCAGGAGGGTTTGCGGAAGGACCTGGCCGCTCGGGGGTGGATGGGGAGTGGAAGGCCACTCTGGACAGGAGGGAGGTCTCCGGGGGCTCTGTGTTCTCCTCAGGAGTGGGACGTGGCTCAGGGTTCTGCGCCTCCTGGAGTCCTGAAGGACAGAAAGAGACAAATAGGCTAAGATTAAAAGACAGGTTCAATAATTTGAGCAGCCAAATTCAAACCCAAATAAGTTACATACTTCTCTCTTCCTCCGTGGTTTTTCGTTTCCTGAGAACAATTTGCTGTTTGAGTTTGTTCACCTCCTCCTGGACTTTCTCTTTCACACGTTCACTCTGCTCAACCTCTCCACATACAGCCTGAAACAGGAAAAAAGCTAGCAATTCAAGAATCATATTATCACTATTTTTCACTCAACCCGTTGAATTTTTCCACATTTTGTTTTGTTACAGCCGAATTTAAAATGTATAAAATTGAGATTAGTGACACACAATAACCCATAATGTGAAAGTGGAATTTTGTTTTTAGAAATGTTTACAAAATCATTAAAAATGAAAAGCTGAAGAGTCAAAAGGTATTCAACCCTTTGTTCTAGAAAGCCTTAATAAGTTCAGTAGTAAATATTTGCTTAACAAATCACATAATAACTTGCATTGACTCACTGTGTGCAATAGTGGTTTACATGATTTTAGTTATGAATACCCCATCTCTGTACCCCAGACATAGAATTCGGTAAGGCCCCTCTGTCGAGCGGTGAATTTCAAGCAGATGTTCAGGTTTTCCAATGCCTCGCAAAGGGCACCGATTGGTAGATCGGCAAAAAATAAAAATAAAAGCATACACCGAATATCCCTTTGAGCATGGTGAAGTTATTTATTACACTTTGGATGGCGTATCAATACACCCAGTTACTACAAAGATACAGGCATCCTTCCTAACTCAGTTGCCGGAGAGGAAGGAAACCACTATGGGATTTCACCATGAGGCCAATACACAGGAGTTTGGTGGCACCTTAATTGGGGAGGACTTAATTGGCTTGTGGTAATGGCTGGAGCGGAGTAGGTGGAATGGTATCAAATACATGGTTTCCATGTGTTTGATGCCATTCCATTCGCTCCGTTCCTGCAATTATTATGAGCCATCCTCCCCTCAGCAGCCTCCTGTGGGCCAATAGTAATTTTAAAACAAAGAAGGAAGCCTGTACAGAATACTCTGTACTGCTATTCCCTGTATATAGCCATGTTATTTTTACTCTATATTGTTATTCACTGTGTATTTATTCCTCGTGTCACTATTTTAAAAAAATGTCTTGTTAAAAGGATCCGTAAGTAAGCATTTCACTGTTAGTCTACACCAGATGTTTACGTAGCATGTGACAAATAAAATGTTATTGGATTTGAATAAAGATATTCCAAAACATGCATCATGTTTGCAAGAAGGCACTAAATTAATACTGCAAAAAATTAGGCAAAGAAAATGAACTTTTTGTCCTGAATACAAAGCATTAAGTTCGGGGCAAATCCAACACAACACTGAGTACCACTCTTCATATTTTCAAGCGTGGTGGCTGGCTGCATCTGGTTATGAGTATGCTTGTCATCGGCAAAGACTACAGAGTTTTTTTGTGGATAAACATAAACGTCATAGAGCTAAGCACAGGCAAAATCCTAGAGGAAAACCAAGTTCAGTCTGCTTTCCGACCCTGGAAGATAAATTCACCTTTCAGCAAGGCAATAACCTAAAACACAAGGCCAAATCTACACTGGAGTTGCTTAACAAGATGACATTGAATGTTCTTGAGTGGCCTAGTTACAGTTGACTTAAATTGGTTTGAAAATCTATAGCAAAACTTGAAAATGGCTGTCTAGCAATGATCAACAACCAACTTGACAGAGCTTGAAGAATTTTTGTAATAAATATATTACAAAAATATTGTATAATCCAGGTGTGCAAAGCTCTTAGACTTACACAAAAATATTCACAGCTGTAATTGCTGCTAAAGGTGTTTTTAACATGTATTGACTCAGGGGTTTAATACATCTAAATCAGGATATATTAGGGTTTTATTTTTCATACATTTTTGACAGAGTATTTTGTGTAAAAATAACAATTAAATTCATTTTAAAATCACACTTTGTAATGCAACAAAATGTAGAAAAGGTCAGGGGGGTTGAATACTTTCTGAAGTCACTGTAGCTATGGTGTCAACCAAAGCACCACATTGCTGTTTATGCAAGTATAGTATGTGACTTGTGTCATGACTATTGTCATGATATTATGACTCTCTCCTTGGTGAGGATCAAAGGTGCCAGATCAGCTTGGCAAATGACTGACAGATAGCCAGACCCCCCCTCTCTCCCACAGGAGAGGAGAGGGGGGTGTTGGGCCGGTTTTATGACTCTTAACAACCGGTCATAAATAGTTTGGAACATTATTCCTGACGTCCAAATGTTTGGAATGGTCAGTGGGGACCTAAATAATAATCATGGCATATTGTTTATTATTTGTGATGTCATTAAGGATGGTATAAATAAATAACTGTAACTCTGAAAGCGTACACATTGTAGTTATCAAGTTTACATCTAAATGTAGTATAAAATATATGATGAATAATTGTTTTATATAAACTTTTGCCCAGTCAGCACAGACATTGTGTTGGCGTGATGGAACGTCCCCTTTTTACCCGAATATAAAAGCCTTGGTAACGAAATTTACATTAGACCAGAAAACGTGAGTGGTGACTGCACGTTTAGAATGGTTAGAACTTTGAATGAGAAAGACCAGGAAGCATGGAGCTGTGGCTACACGGCTTAAAATGGTTAAACCAGAAAGACCAGCCGACGTAAAGCACGAGCTCACGTTACAAATGGTTGAACCGCTACAGACCAGCAGACGTGCAGTGGGAGCTGAACGTTACAAATGGTTGACACTGTAAGACCAGGAAATGTGAGACGTTAGTCCACATGTTTGAAATGGTGAGAAACTCTGAAACTCTCAATCTCTACACAAGAAGAAGAAACTCACTTGACCGTAGCATTACCAGTCTGCAGCTGGCATGTAAAGTAGTCTAGAACTTTCACTAAAGACACGAGTTGGGAAGGATAACCCCATCTCAGATAACCGTTGATACATCTGAAGTATCTGGCCATAACAACCACTTCACTACCAGAGAAGCTCTACAAAGGACATTGTGACCTCTGGTGGACAAACCAGAGCCTTACACCCATAGGAGAAGACATTCTACACGTAAATACATTGCATTTGTTACCCAAACAGGCAGTGGTTAGGGTGCTAAGTATTCTGATTACCGTGAGCGTAGTTTCCAAATGTACGTACGATAAGTTTGACTCTCTTTGTGCCTTTATCCCTCCTTCTATTGACCCTTTTAGATAACCAAGCAGTCATGCTGTTGTTAGTCCGCTAGGGACTTTACTTATGTATTAAGTATGTATGTATTCTGTGTTATTACTTGGTTAACTAGTAAATAAATAATTAAGCCAATGTGTATATTGCTGACCCATAAGTAAGGTTAGGGTTCTTGCAGGTTCAAGGATTATGTGACGTTCAGAATGAGACTGATGAGGTAATGATTAATAAGTGACTGTTATCGATATATAAAACACACACACACACACACACACACTACCGGTCAAAAAATTTAGAACACCTACTCATTCAAGGGTTTTCTTTCTTTTTACTATTTTCTACATTGTAGAATACATTTACATTTTAGTCATTTAGCAGACGCTCTTATCCAGAGCGACTTACAGTTAGTGAGTGCATACATTTTCATACTGGTCCCCCGTGGGAATCGAACCCACAACGCTGGCGTTGCAAGCGCCATGCTCTACCAACTGAGCTACACGGGACATACAACAGTATTAACATTAACATACACTGTAGGGACTCCGGAGGACATTTTGGTGGGTAGTCAACAGTCCCCTATCTACCCCTTGAGTCATGGTCAACGTTTCGAGTAGTGAAGACATCAAAACTATGAAATAACACATATGGAATCATGTAGTAAATAAAAAAAGTGTTAAACAAATCTAAATATAATTTATATTTGAGATTCTTCAAATAGCCACCCTTTACCGTGATGACAGCTTTGCACACTCTTGGCATTCTCTCAACCAGCTTCATGAGGTAGTCACCTGTAATGCATTTCAATTAACAGGTGTGCCTTGTTAAAAGTTCATTTGTGGAATTTCTTTCCTTAATGCGTTTGAGCCAATCAGTTGTTGTGACAAGGTAGGTGGGGTATACAGAAGATAGCCATATATGGTAAAAGACCAAGTCCATATTATGGAAAGAACAGCTCAAATAAGCAAAGACAAACGACAGTCCATCATTACATGAAGGTCAGTCAATACAGAACATTAAGAACTTTTAATGTTTCTTCAAGTGCAGTCGCAAAAACCATCAAGCACAGTAATGGAACTGGCTCTCATGAGGACCGCCACACGCTTTTCCAACAGCCTTGAAGGAGTTCCCACATATGCTGAGCACTTGTTGGCTGCTTTTCCTTCACTCTGCGGTCCCACTCATCCCAAACCATCTCAATTTGGTTGAGGTCGGGGGATTGTGGGGGCCAAGTCATCTGATGCAGCACTCCATCACTCTCCTTCTTGGTAAAATAGCCCTTACACAGCCTGGAGGTGTGTTGGGTCATTGTCCTGTTGAACAATAAATGATAGTCCCACTAAGCCCAAACCAGATGGGATGGCATATCGCTGCAGAATGCTGTGGTAGCCATGCTGGTTAAGTGTGCCTTGAATTCTAAATAAATCACAGACTGTGTCACCAGCTAAGCACACCCACACCATAACACCTCCTCATCCATGCTTTATGGTGGGAAAGACACATGCGGAGATCATCCGTTCACCAACACCGCGTCTCACAAAGTAATGGCGATTGGAACTAAAAATCTCCAATTTGGACTCCAGACCAAAGTACACATGTCCACTGGTCTAATGTCCATTGCTCGTGTTTCTTGGCCCAAGCAAGTCTCTTCTTATTATTGGTGTCCTTTAGTAGTGGTTTCTTTGCAGCAATTTGAACATGAAGGCCTGCTTCACACAGTCTCCTCTGAACAGTTGATGTTGAGATGTGTCTGTTACTTCAACTCTGTGAAGCATTTATTTGGGCTGCAATTTCTGAGGCTGGTAACTCTAATTAACTTATCCTCTGCAGCAGAGGAAACTCTGGGTCTTCCATTCCTGTGGCGGTCCTCATGAGAGCCAGTTCCATCACTGCGCTTGATGGTTTTTGCGACTGCACTTGAAGAAACATTCAAAGTTCTTGAAATGTTCCGTATTGACTGACCTTGATGGAATAATGGACTGTCGTTTCTCTTTGCTTATTTGAGCTGTTCTTGCCATAATATGGACTTGGTCTTTTACCAAATATGGCTATCTTCTGTATATCCCCCCTACCTTGTCACAACAACTGATTGGCTCAAACAAATTAAAAAGGAAAGAAATTCCACAAATTAACTTTTAAGAAGGCACACCTGTTAATTGAAATGCATTCCAGGTGACTACCTCATGAAGCTGGTTGAGATAATGCCAAGAGTGTGCAAAGCTGTCAACAAGGCAAAGGGTGGCTATTTGAAGAATCTCAAATATAAAAAATATATTTTGATTTGTTTAACTTTTTTTTAATTACTACATGATTCCACATGTGTTATTTCATAGTTTTGATGTCTTCACTACTATTCTACAATATAGAAAATAGTAAAAATAAAGAAAACCCTTGAATGAGTAGGTGTTCTAAAACTTTTGACCGGTAGTGTATATCTTCTAAGAGTTTAATTCGTGAGATGGTAACTCGTTAAACAACTTCTTCCGTGGTGCCCCAAATTCCTAATGAGTTCATTGTTACATGATTAATTTAAAATCGGGTAACAATTAAACATAGTTAGTTGATTCGATAAATAACAGTCATCAGACTAATGAAAGTCACGTCACAACACTTGTATCAATTGAATGGTATGAATAGGAAATTTGCTGGCAGCCAACTCACTTGCACTTTATCTTGTAGTGCACCGTAGACTTGAAAAATTGTTCTGATATCCTTCATCACACCGTCTTTGTCAAAGAATTCAGCCCTGCAAAACATACAGCACATCCCATTTCCATCAAACATGATTCTCAATACTAAAGAATTAACGAGTTGACAGTGCCTACATGTGGGAGACACTCACCCATGCTCTTTGATGACCTTGGCATAGTTGAGTGAGGTGTTGGGGACAGAGGAGACTTTGTATTCCTGCTGGCTGGTGTTGCCCAGGTTCGGGATGCTGAGGGTCACCCTCTGGTTGTACCTGCTGGGTGGAACCAGAGAGTTAGTCTGATGATACACTACAGGCAGCCTAGCTCAAAATACCCTTACGCCCATTAATGGCTGGGGCAGCAACAGTATACTACATTGCTTTGATTGATGCCCAGATCCAATGGATCTAGTTGAGAGTTCAGAAGATGTAATAATCTGCTAATGTCCAGTTTCACCCACACAATCCCTCCAGGCCTCCACCAACCCACTCTGAGCCCTCGAGCCACAGACAGTAGTATTTAAGTCCCCAGCTTGATTCCAACACCCAAGCCTTGAATCCCTACAGACCTCCCGCTGCGCTGTCCATCTGACCCTAGATATAGAATGGCTAGACCTTACATAGTTGTTTAATCAATGTATGATGTATTTGAACGGTCCTTCTTTAAGGAAACCAGTCATGTGAACATTAAGACATTCCGACTCTTAAAATGTAAGATACTGTAGGACCAAGGGACATTTAAACTCTAATGTAATATTATCATTATATTGTCTATTGTATATTTGTTTAATATATAGATATTTTAATAGTGTGTTACATTGTAATGACATATTGATGTTGATTGTTTTCTGTCCAGGGACTACAGAAAAATCTGGTGCAATGGCATGTTGTACAAGGTCCCTGACAAATACATAAAGGAATAAACTAAATAAATGATATGCCTATGCACCTGAGGTGCCTCCACAACTAGCAACCATTTTGTCTGAAAGGAGAGGCCACTACTGTTCGCCACCTTAGTGGAATCTGTGCCACTGGGTCTTTCTGCTTTTATCCAACTCTCACATACATTGACCTGCCTGCACAGGGTGAGCAACAGCCTGGGAATACACACAGAGAGGAGGCTCAACAGCCAATTTAATGTACAGTTTGCATGTGTGGATTGTTAAAGGGATACTTCAGGATTTTGGCAATGAAGCCCTTTATCTAATTCCCCAGGGTCAGATGAACTCATGGATACCATTTTGACGTGTCTACGTGCAGTTTGAAGGAAGTTGCTAACTAGCATTAGCACAATTGCTAATGTTCCTGTAGACTTCCAGTCAGTGCACTAACGCTAGTTAGCATTGGCTCACGAAACTACCTCCAACTTCCTTCATACTGGACACAGATATAAAAACAATATCCACGTGTTCATCTGACTCTGGGGAAGTATATAAAGGGCTTCATTGCCAAAATCCCTAAGAATCCCTTTAAGGGTGTGTGGATTGTTCAGCATCGCCAACATATGCACCAGCCTGTTTGTGCATGCTGTTCGGTGCATATAGCTACGTGTGGGTGGTCCTACCTGCGGTTGGGTCTGAACAGCACATACTCCAGGGCGTGTGTGGAGTTGTTGGCTGTGGAGATGAAGCTAAAGAGGAGAAAGACTAGGTCGGGCACACCCAGGAGCTGGGTCAGCTGCTTATGGATGATCTGTTCCCTGAACGACATCTGCTGCTGCGTGTTCCTCCTGAACCTGTACCAGCCGATGACATTCTACACAGGGGGGTCAAGTAAAAGATGCACAGACAGTGTTTTAGCTAGATACTACTGGCCAATAATACCAAAAAAATTTAATACAAATAGACCTACAATAAATACTCACTTTCCGTCTGTCTTTAAGAATTCTGTTAAGACTCTCTTCATTGACTTGTCCAGCATAATCATAAAAGCTGGTGGGGGAAAGATACAGACAAAAAGTCAATTTCCTCACAGTAGCTCTGCATTAGTTACTCAAAACTTCTGGTGGGGTGGGGCCATCTACTGTTCACTGACAATTACATCACTCATTTGTTGAATGGAAGTACTGTGCGGTATTTGGCCTACAATGTGCATGATGGCATGATCAAGACAAAGCTTCATCTCAGATTGGATAAATAATGTATCAGATACATCACTAGTCTAGGCTAATTATATTCGAGCCCATAACTTTAATAGTTTGCACATAAACCAAGCAATCATTTGGAAAAACCATTTAACGAAAAGTAACGTCACAAAATGTCATTAAGGACAACAAATTCAATATAATTTTTTATAATATAATATCTTACCTAAATAGCTGTGCACAAGGTTCATGATTGTGGACTTCTGTTTAAAAAAAGAACGCAGCAAATGTATGGTTATTAAACACCATCATATATTGTTAGTCTAATGTCATCCCGTGTAGCTCAGTTGGTAGAGCATGGCGCTTGTAACTCCAGGGTTGTGGGTTTGACTCCCAAGGGGGACCAGTATGAAAATGTATGGACTCAATACTGTAAGTCGCTCTGAATAAGAGCTTCTGCTAAATGACTAAAATGTTTTTTTAAATGTAAATCCCACCACTATAAATGTTGAGATGCCTACAATTGTAAGACTTTAGACAGCCTACAGTAATATTGCATACAAAACACATTACCCAGAGACTAGCTACATAACATATTGAACAGCTGCTGTAAAGGTCTTCCACTTTAAACAGAAAAAACAACAAGAGACACTCCTTTTGATCTGAAACCTGCCAGTCTAGTTTGACAGAATTCCACAGTAGCATGGAGCATATAATCCGTCAAGACAAGCCTGGAAACAAATAGGTTGGTTTCTTTGACTTGGCTACCCAAGGCCTTACCTACTACTTGGAGTAGTTCAGAACTGCTGATCTGTGTATCACTGATGCTGACAGTTTCCTCTTGCCTAACTTCTCCTAAAAGGAATCCCTCCTGTAGGAGCAAAAAGTTGTTTCTAATTATAAAACGTGAAATAGGCCTAGATAGAGAAACAATCAACATATTGGGCAGAAGTCAATTACTAATCCTACAATGACTCATACAGCACTGTTTGAGGCCTGACACTTTAAGCTCTCCCTTCACATTGTCAAATCAAATCATGTGTCAAATGTCAGGTGAAACATTAGGCAGCATCGACATGCAACTCAGTTTGCTGGCAGGTGTCAATCCAGTCTTATATCTAATGGTAAACAAAAACTTGTGTGGCTTGAATGGGTGATGACTTATTTGATCAATTCACTTCCTAGTTGTCCAACTAGCTAGCTTGCTAACTGTGTGGTAACATTGCTAGAATAAATTACTCAACAAAAAAAATACAACAAACAATTACTTAGCAAGAAATATGGAGCTACATTTTTAGCCAGTTAACATTAGCTAGCTAGATAATTTGACATGACTAGCTAACTGGCTACAGTAGATAATGCGGAAACAATCTAGATAGCTAGCTTGCTCTATCTTTCTGATAATGATATGACCAGAAGCTAACTAGTTCATTTGTAGTACTTGCTGTGCAGAAGGTGATGCAATTGACATTTTTCAAATATAGTTAACCAACTAACTAACTATGGCTACATCAATGTTGCATTGTCAAAAATATATATATACAGTCGACACCACGGAAGTCAGTTGGGTTGACATAGCTAGCATAGCAGGCTAGCCAACTAGCTAGCAAATGTCTCGCTATGTAAGTGATTGAGCTAAATTTGCAACTAGCTAGCAACAGGAAGATGACACTGGGAAATACACTGAGTTTATGCCTGAGAATAACATCCAAATATACACCCGTTGTAACTAAACAAATGTATGCACTCTCTCCCAATTCATTAAAATGTTTCCTGTACTTACATGATCAGAGTTGCTGTTAGCGCTGTGATAACACACAGAACTAAAAGTATAGCCCGAAATGGATGCCGCCATGATGGAAACATCCCATCTATACCTCAATGATACCACCACCACCACCACCCCCTCCCCCTGCGGTTGCACCACAGATAGAACAATGAGCTAGATGTTTAACCGGATGTCTAAATATGAAGCATCCGGTTGGCGGTTCAACTCACCACCAAATATGGCCCAGCAGTGGAGAAGGATGGATTTTGGCCGACATTCGGCTAATTTTCTCATCGATGAAACATTTTATCTCCATACAGTTTTATGTTTCCAAAACTAAAATATGTTACGAATAGAGTGGACTGTTTATTAGACTTTACCCTTTGCCAATTTCTTTTTAAAATGGCGTTGTTTAGAAGGAGTGCAAGGGCGAATTGAGTTAATGCACACGCGCACTTCACAGAGTAGGCGTTCCCTAACGGACAAATCAAAATACATGCTAGAACGCGTCAATAGGATCTCGCTAGCTCGTCCTTGGCTCTGCCCACCTCCTTGTTTGTTCTGCCTACTATGATTAATTTGCTCCCATTGGAAACGACAGGTTGTGGTCTATCTTGAGTTACTTATACAACTATCTTTGGTTGCACGCTCGCTCCTTAGGGCGTCATGAACATCATGGGAAACTTCTCTGACTGTGCATGTATGATTTTGTGTGTATTGTTATAAACGATAACGCATATCGCTTACTTTACGTTGACTAACTAGCTATTCCTCTTAATATGTGCACATGAAAGTCGAGGAAGACGTGTTGATGCTTGCTTCCTGCCAGCGTGTGTTACGTTGCTAGCTAGCGTTAGCTATTTTAGTATATACAGGAAGAAGCTAGCTATCTACCTGGCATGGAATCCATTGAACGCACGCGTGGCTGTCAAACTTCCTCGAAAATCGAAGAGGACTTGGTCAAAGATGATTTTACACCCTCGAAGCTCGGAACGAAAGAATAGTGAGTGTTCCAAAATGACACATCAATGTTCTCCTTGCCCAGCATAATTGCTAATGTTACATTTGTATTAGTCTTTTTTGTATGTATTAGGGATCCCCATACGTTTCCTGGGGTCCAAACACATTAAGGCACTGTTCTTCGCCACTATTTTTTTGAAACGTTGTATCCTTCTGTTTCTAGCAAGGTGTTACATTATTTCCATTTATTTTTTAGCTGGGATGATGCGTACCAGAGGGAATTGCAGACATTTAAAGACATTGGAGACGTCGGTGAGATATGGTAAAGATAATACTGGTTATAGTGTAAATGGATCTGTGCAGCCCTATATCAACTTACAATGGATTGGAGAGGTGTTCAGAAGGGTCGAACTAATGTCTATGGGTGGAACGTTCATTTGCCTCCAACACTTTGCCCCAGTGTACCACCTACTACAATATCCAGCTACCAAGGACACATTTGGTCAAAGTTTATACAGTTGTCATTGTGCTGTACTGTGCCCCATCTCTATTTCCTAAGGTTTGGAGAAGAGAGTATGGACCGTGTACTGCGGTGGATGGAAAAAGAGGGAATCCCAGAAGATGCTGCTGTACTTGATATTGGCACAGGGAATGGTGTCCTTTTAGTAGAACTGGTAGGCTTTGAAAAAAATTGAAAGTTGTGTAATTACTATGCTGTAAAAATGCCTATTAGGCATACACACCTGTAGCATATACTGAATGTACAAAACATTAAGAACACCTGCTCTTTCCATGACATAGACTGACCAGGTGAAAGCTAAGATCCCTTATTGATGTCACTTGTTAAATTCACTTCAATCAGTGTAGATGAATTGGAGGAGACAGGTTAAAGAAGGACTTTTAAGCCTTGAGACAATTGAGACATGGATTGTGTATGTGTGCCATTCAGAGGGTAAGTGTGTGAAGAACTGCAACGCTGCTGTTTTTTTCCACGCTCAACAGTTAGCCCTGTGTATCAAGAATGGTCCACCACCCAAAGGACATCCAGCCAACTTGACACAACTGTGGGAAGCATTCGAGTCAACATGGGCCAGCATCCCTGTGGAGTGCTTTTGACACCTTGTAGAGTCCATGCCCTGATGAATTGAGGCTGTTCTGAGGTCAAAAGGGGGGTGCAACTCAATATTAGGAAGGTGTTCCTAATGTTTTGTACACTCAGTGTAGGACAACATTAGCTTGAATGCTTTCTTCACCTATGTCAATCATTTTTGCCTTTGCATGACTATTCATGTTCTTTATGCATTCTGATTTTTTTTTTCTTCTCTAGGCCAAAAGTGGATACACAAATCTCACAGGAATAGATTATTCTGCAGCTTCTGTTGAACTTGCAAGAAGTGTACTGCAGACAGAAGACTGTTCTAATGTGGAAGTCAAGGTAAGCCCTACCTGCTGTGTGTGTAGAAATGATAATCGCTACAGTAACACTACAGTAACAGCTGTATTAATTGCTGTTGCACAGTACATTAGCAGGCCTAATAGCATTGTAATTGCAGTGCACAGTAATGGAGTTGAGCGGTTTTTGTTATTACAAGTGGTAAGGGAGAGAACCTATTTCTCTTTTGCAATAACAAAAAACACACTTAGTGTTTTGGCCATGTGTATACCAGCAATTGTTATGTGCAAGGGACACATGCTTACAGCAGATGGTATACTTCAAATCAAATGTTATTGGTCACATGCGCCGAATACAACAGGTGCAGACATCACAGTGAAATGCCAACTCACTTGCACTTTATCTTGTAGTGCACCGTAGACTTGAAAAATTGTTCTGATATCCTTCATCACACCGTCTTTGTCAAAGAATTCAGCCCTGCAAAACATACAGCACATCCCATTTCCATCAAACATGATTCTCAATACTAAAGAATTAACGAGTTGACAGTGCCTACATGTGGGAGACACTCACCCATGCTCTTTGATGACCTTGGCATAGTTGAGTGAGGTGTTGGGGACAGAGGAGACTTTGTATTCCTGCTGGCTGGTGTTGCCCAGGTTCGGGATGCTGAGGGTCACCCTCTGGTTGTACCTGCTGGGTGGAACCAGAGAGTTAGTCTGATGATACACTACAGGCAGCCTAGCTCAAAATACCCTTACGCCCATTAATGGCTGGGGCAGCAACAGTATACTACATTGCTTTGATTGATGCCCAGATCCAATGGATCTAGTTGAGAGTTCAGAAGATGTAATAATCTGCTAATGTCCAGTTTCACCCACACAATCCCTCCAGGCCTCCACCAACCCACTCTGAGCCCTCGAGCCACAGACAGTAGTATTTAAGTCCCCAGCTTGATTCCAACACCCAAGCCTTGAATCCCTACAGACCTCCCGCTGCGCTGTCCATCTGACCCTAGATATAGAATGGCTAGACCTTACATAGTTGTTTAATCAATGTATGATGTATTTGAACGGTCCTTCTTTAAGGAAACCAGTCATGTGAACATTAAGACATTCCGACTCTTAAAATGTAAGATACTGTAGGACCAAGGGACATTTAAACTCTAATGTAATATTATCATTATATTGTCTATTGTATATTTGTTTAATATATAGATATTTTAATAGTGTGTTACATTGTAATGACATATTGATGTTGATTGTTTTCTGTCCAGGGACTACAGAAAAATCTGGTGCAATGGCATGTTGTACAAGGTCCCTGACAAATACATAAAGGAATAAACTAAATAAATGATATGCCTATGCACCTGAGGTGCCTCCACAACTAGCAACCATTTTGTCTGAAAGGAGAGGCCACTACTGTTCGCCACCTTAGTGGAATCTGTGCCACTGGGTCTTTCTGCTTTTATCCAACTCTCACATACATTGACCTGCCTGCACAGGGTGAGCAACAGCCTGGGAATACACACAGAGAGGAGGCTCAACAGCCAATTTAATGTACAGTTTGCATGTGTGGATTGTTAAAGGGATACTTCAGGATTTTGGCAATGAAGCCCTTTATCTAATTCCCCAGGGTCAGATGAACTCATGGATACCATTTTGACGTGTCTACGTGCAGTTTGAAGGAAGTTGCTAACTAGCATTAGCACAATTGCTAATGTTCCTGTAGACTTCCAGTCAGTGCACTAACGCTAGTTAGCATTGGCTCACGAAACTACCTCCAACTTCCTTCATACTGGACACAGATATAAAAACAATATCCACGTGTTCATCTGACTCTGGGGAAGTATATAAAGGGCTTCATTGCCAAAATCCCTAAGAATCCCTTTAAGGGTGTGTGGATTGTTCAGCATCGCCAACATATGCACCAGCCTGTTTGTGCATGCTGTTCGGTGCATATAGCTACGTGTGGGTGGTCCTACCTGCGGTTGGGTCTGAACAGCACATACTCCAGGGCGTGTGTGGAGTTGTTGGCTGTGGAGATTAAGCTAAAGAGGAGAAAGACTAGGTCGGGCACACCCAGGAGCTGGGTCAGCTGCTTATGGATGATCTGTTCCCTGAACGACATCTGCTGCTGCGTGTTCCTCCTGAACCTGTACCAGCCGATGACATTCTACACAGGGGGGTCAAGTAAAAGATGCACAGACAGTGTTTTAGCTAGATACTACTGGCCAATAATACCAAAAAAATTTAATACAAATAGACCTACAATAAATACTCACTTTCCGTCTGTCTTTAAGAATTCTGTTAAGACTCTCTTCATTGACTTGTCCAGCATAATCATAAAAGCTGGTGGGGGAAAGATACAGACAAAAAGTCAATTTCCTCACAGTAGCTCTGCATTAGTTACTCAAAACTTCTGGTGGGGTGGGGCCATCTACTGTTCACTGACAATTACATCACTCATTTGTTGAATGGAAGTACTGTGCGGTATTTGGCCTACAATGTGCATGATGGCATGATCAAGACAAAGCTTCATCTCAGATTGGATAAATAATGTATCAGATACATCACTAGTCTAGGCTAATTATATTCGAGCCCATAACTTTAATAGTTTGCACATAAACCAAGCAATCATTTGGAAAAACCATTTAACGAAAAGTAACGTCACAAAATGTCATTAAGGACAACAAATTCAATATAATTTTTTATAATATAATATCTTACCTAAATAGCTGTGCACAAGGTTCATGATTGTGGACTTCTGTTTAAAAAAAGAACGCAGCAAATGTATGGTTATTAAACACCATCATATATTGTTAGTCTAATGTCATCCCGTGTAGCTCAGTTGGTAGAGCATGGCGCTTGTAACTCCAGGGTTGTGGGTTTGACTCCCAAGGGGGACCAGTATGAAAATGTATGGACTCAATACTGTAAGTCGCTCTGAATAAGAGCTTCTGCTAAATGACTAAAATGTTTTTTTAAATGTAAATCCCACCACTATAAATGTTGAGATGCCTACAATTGTAAGACTTTAGACAGCCTACAGTAATATTGCATACAAAACACATTACCCAGAGACTAGCTACATAACATATTGAACAGCTGCTGTAAAGGTCTTCCACTTTAAACAGAAAAAACAACAAGAGACACTCCTTTTGATCTGAAACCTGCCAGTCTAGTTTGACAGAATTCCACAGTAGCATGGAGCATATAATCCGTCAAGACAAGCCTGGAAACAAATAGGTTGGTTTCTTTGACTTGGCTACCCAAGGCCTTACCTACTACTTGGAGTAGTTCAGAACTGCTGATCTGTGTATCACTGATGCTGACAGTTTCCTCTTGCCTAACTTCTCCTAAAAGGAATCCCTCCTGTAGGAGCAAAAAGTTGTTTCTAATTATAAAACGTGAAATAGGCCTAGATAGAGAAACAATCAACATATTGGGCAGAAGTCAATTACTAATCCTACAATGACTCATACAGCACTGTTTGAGGCCTGACACTTTAAGCTCTCCCTTCACATTGTCAAATCAAATCATGTGTCAAATGTCAGGTGAAACATTAGGCAGCATCGACATGCAACTCAGTTTGCTGGCAGGTGTCAATCCAGTCTTATATCTAATGGTAAACAAAAACTTGTGTGGCTTGAATGGGTGATGACTTATTTGATCAATTCACTTCCTAGTTGTCCAACTAGCTAGCTTGCTAACTGTGTGGTAACATTGCTAGAATAAATTACTCAACAAAAAAAATACAACAAACAATTACTTAGCAAGAAATATGGAGCTACATTTTTAGCCAGTTAACATTAGCTAGCTAGATAATTTGACATGACTAGCTAACTGGCTACAGTAGATAATGCGGAAACAATCTAGATAGCTAGCTTGCTCTATCTTTCTGATAATGATATGACCAGAAGCTAACTAGTTCATTTGTAGTACTTGCTGTGCAGAAGGTGATGCAATTGACATTTTTCAAATATAGTTAACCAACTAACTAACTATGGCTACATCAATGTTGCATTGTCAAAAATATATATATACAGTCGACACCACGGAAGTCAGTTGGGTTGACATAGCTAGCATAGCAGGCTAGCCAACTAGCTAGCAAATGTCTCGCTATGTAAGTGATTGAGCTAAATTTGCAACTAGCTAGCAACAGGAAGATGACACTGGGAAATACACTGAGTTTATGCCTGAGAATAACATCCAAATATACACCCGTTGTAACTAAACAAATGTATGCACTCTCTCCCAATTCATTAAAATGTTTCCTGTACTTACATGATCAGAGTTGCTGTTAGCGCTGTGATAACACACAGAACTAAAAGTATAGCCCGAAATGGATGCCGCCATGATGGAAACATCCCATCTATACCTCAATGATACCACCACCACCACCACCCCCTCCCCCTGCGGTTGCACCACAGATAGAACAATGAGCTAGATGTTTAACCGGATGTCTAAATATGAAGCATCCGGTTGGCGGTTCAACTCACCACCAAATATGGCCCAGCAGTGGAGAAGGATGGATTTTGGCCGACATTCGGCTAATTTTCTCATCGATGAAACATTTTATCTCCATACAGTTTTATGTTTCCAAAACTAAAATATGTTACGAATAGAGTGGACTGTTTATTAGACTTTACCCTTTGCCAATTTCTTTTTAAAATGGCGTTGTTTAGAAGGAGTGCAAGGGCGAATTGAGTTAATGCACACGCGCACTTCACAGAGTAGGCGTTCCCTAACGGACAAATCAAAATACATGCTAGAACGCGTCAATAGGATCTCGCTAGCTCGTCCTTGGCTCTGCCCACCTCCTTGTTTGTTCTGCCTACTATGATTAATTTGCTCCCATTGGAAACGACAGGTTGTGGTCTATCTTGAGTTACTTATACAACTATCTTTGGTTGCACGCTCGCTCCTTAGGGCGTCATGAACATCATGGGAAACTTCTCTGACTGTGCATGTATGATTTTGTGTGTATTGTTATAAACGATAACGCATATCGCTTACTTTACGTTGACTAACTAGCTATTCCTCTTAATATGTGCACATGAAAGTCGAGGAAGACGTGTTGATGCTTGCTTCCTGCCAGCGTGTGTTACGTTGCTAGCTAGCGTTAGCTATTTTAGTATATACAGGAAGAAGCTAGCTATCTACCTGGCATGGAATCCATTGAACGCACGCGTGGCTGTCAAACTTCCTCGAAAATCGAAGAGGACTTGGTCAAAGATGATTTTACACCCTCGAAGCTCGGAACGAAAGAATAGTGAGTGTTCCAAAATGACACATCAATGTTCTCCTTGCCCAGCATAATTGCTAATGTTACATTTGTATTAGTCTTTTTTGTATGTATTAGGGATCCCCATACGTTTCCTGGGGTCCAAACACATTAAGGCACTGTTCTTCGCCACTATTTTTTTGAAACGTTGTATCCTTCTGTTTCTAGCAAGGTGTTACATTATTTCCATTTATTTTTTAGCTGGGATGATGCGTACCAGAGGGAATTGCAGACATTTAAAGACATTGGAGACGTCGGTGAGATATGGTAAAGATAATACTGGTTATAGTGTAAATGGATCTGTGCAGCCCTATATCAACTTACAATGGATTGGAGAGGTGTTCAGAAGGGTCGAACTAATGTCTATGGGTGGAACGTTCATTTGCCTCCAACACTTTGCCCCAGTGTACCACCTACTACAATATCCAGCTACCAAGGACACATTTGGTCAAAGTTTATACAGTTGTCATTGTGCTGTACTGTGCCCCATCTCTATTTCCTAAGGTTTGGAGAAGAGAGTATGGACCGTGTACTGCGGTGGATGGAAAAAGAGGGAATCCCAGAAGATGCTGCTGTACTTGATATTGGCACAGGGAATGGTGTCCTTTTAGTAGAACTGGTAGGCTTTGAAAAAAATTGAAAGTTGTGTAATTACTATGCTGTAAAAATGCCTATTAGGCATACACACCTGTAGCATATACTGAATGTACAAAACATTAAGAACACCTGCTCTTTCCATGACATAGACTGACCAGGTGAAAGCTAAGATCCCTTATTGATGTCACTTGTTAAATTCACTTCAATCAGTGTAGATGAATTGGAGGAGACAGGTTAAAGAAGGACTTTTAAGCCTTGAGACAATTGAGACATGGATTGTGTATGTGTGCCATTCAGAGGGTAAGTGTGTGAAGAACTGCAACGCTGCTGTTTTTTCCACGCTCAACAGTTAGCCCTGTGTATCAAGAATGGTCCACCACCCAAAGGACATCCAGCCAACTTGACACAACTGTGGGAAGCATTCGAGTCAACATGGGCCAGCATCCCTGTGGAGTGCTTTTGACACCTTGTAGAGTCCATGCCCTGATGAATTGAGGCTGTTCTGAGGTCAAAAGGGGGGTGCAACTCAATATTAGGAAGGTGTTCCTAATGTTTTGTACACTCAGTGTAGGACAACATTAGCTTGAATGCTTTCTTCACCTATGTCAATCATTTTTGCCTTTGCATGACTATTCATGTTCTTTATGCATTCTGATTTTTTTTTTCTTCTCTAGGCCAAAAGTGGATACACAAATCTCACAGGAATAGATTATTCTGCAGCTTCTGTTGAACTTGCAAGAAGTGTACTGCAGACAGAAGACTGTTCTAATGTGGAAGTCAAGGTAAGCCCTACCTGCTGTGTGTGTAGAAATGATAATCGCTACAGTAACACTACAGTAACAGCTGTATTAATTGCTGTTGCACAGTACATTAGCAGGCCTAATAGCATTGTAATTGCAGTGCACAGTAATGGAGTTGAGCGGTTTTTGTTATTACAAGTGGTAAGGGAGAGAACCTATTTCTCTTTTGCAATAACAAAAAACACACTTAGTGTTTTGGCCATGTGTATACCAGCAATTGTTATGTGCAAGGGACACATGCTTACAGCAGATGGTATACTTCAAATCAAATGTTATTGGTCACATGCGCCGAATACAACAGGTGCAGACATCACAGTGAAATGCTTACTTACAGCCCTTAACCAACAGTGCATTTATTTTTAACAAAAAAAGTAAAAATAAAACAATAACAAAAAAAGTGTTGAGAGAAAAAAAAGAGCAGAAGTAAAATAAAATAACAGTAGGGAGGCTATATATACAGGGGGGTACCGTTGCAGAGTCAATGTGCGGGGGCACCGGCTAGTTGAGGTAGTTGAGGTAATATGTACATGTGGGTAGAGTTAAAGTGACTATGCATAAATAATTAACAGAGTAGCAGCAGCGTAAAAAGGATGGGGTGGGGGGGCACTGCAAATAGTCCGGGTAGCCATGATTAGCTGTTCAGGAGTCTTATGGCTTGGGGGTAGAAGCTGTTGAGAAGTCTTTTGGACCTAGACTTGGCACTCCGGTACTGCTTGCCGTGCGGTAGCAGAGAGAACAGTCTATGACTAGGGTGGCTGGAGTCTTTGACAATTTTGAGGGCCTTCCTCTGACACCGCCTGGTATAGAGGTCCTGGATGGCAGGAAGCTTGGCCCCAGTGATGTAGTGGTCTAAGGCACTGCATCTCAGTGCTTGAGGCGTGCGTCACTACAGACCCCCTGGTTCGATTCTAGGCTGTATCATAACCAGCCGTGATTGGGAGTCCCATAGAGCGGTGCACAATTGACCCAGTGTCGTCCATGTTTTGCCGGTGTAGGCCGTCATTGTAAATAAGAATTTGTTCTTAACTAACTTGCCTAGTTAAATAAAGGTAAAATAAAATAAATACTTAACAGTTGGTGGTACTATTGGACTGTATTGTGAGACCTATGCACAGACACCTACACACACGTCCATACAGTATGTCAATACCTCATACTTATTCATTATACAGTCATATTTTAATCAATTAAGAACATTTATATTGGTCACTAATGCTTTGGAAGAAAATAGGTGTGGTGGACTGCATATATTTGACATAAATGTCTGTCAGAATGATAATTTCATGAATAAAAACCGTTTGTTTCATTTTTTATGATTAAGCATACTGTAATGGTAATAATGCCACATGTGCAGGACTGGAATATAAACATTTCCATTTCCAACGTTTATCCACATCCCACTACTCCATCCCAGTAATATTTTGTTTAGGACTGTGGGTCTCTTGGTTGGACCCCAGACCACAGACAAACCCAGCCATTGATGCTTAGCTCTGCATGAATTCTCCAACCGCCAGTGACACAATCTAGCTTTCAGCGCACCATATCCCCTAGCCTAGGGCTGTTGCCATGAGGGGAAACTCTCCTGTGTTTACCTGGCATGTTGGAGGGGTAGCAGAGAGGTGTTAAAAGTAATGGGACTCCGCCTGGCTTTGGATTCAGCCACATTGTGGCCGGGCGAGCTGACGGGATTTAACACATCTGCAGGAAAACATGTGCAAGAAAAACAGGTTTTAAATGCCACTCATCCATATGATACCAAACCTAGGGATGAGTGAGGTTTCCTCCCCCATACACACACACACACATGTATAGTCTCTTACTGTACACCTTCCTCTGGAGCAATGTTCCCTCTAAATTCTTCGGCACTGAGCAAATTTCAGGTCTGCTGAGAGCAAACTTGAACGTTGTGAAAATTCTGTGCAACTTCCAGCGCTCGTTTACTGTGAACACTGAGGCTGTACCCACTTTAAGTTACAGTTTAACAGCGGCCAAGTAGGCTACTGTGGCTATTTGAGCATAATACAGGCCTACCAGAGTGGCCTACCATAAAAAACAATGGAGAAAATGCATCCCATACCATTTTAACATGGAAATAGCCTAGTCATTCAGCCTAAAATAGCAGATAATGTGTGGTGTTTGATGTAGGCCTACATTCCATGAGACTTTAAAAAATATATATGCAGGGCTTGACATTAACCTGTTTATCCACTTGTCCTTCAGACAAGGAGGTGACTGAAAATGTTGTTGTTTGATGCAAGAAACCACTTTACAAAATAAAATGCATTATTATTCTCATACTAATTATTACAGAGAATCAGACAAATTATGCTACCCTCTGCCTATTGGCTATTTAGCTTATTCAAGCATGTCTCAAAATACAACACTGCAAAAAAAAAAGCTCTTTACCTGACTTGCTTTTCAAAGAAATCAAATAAAATTTTATTGGCCACATGCGCCGAATACAACAGGTGCAGACATTACAGTGAAATGCTTACTTACAGCCCTTAACCAACAGTGCATTTATTTTTAATAAAAAAGTAGAATAAAACAAAAAAGTGTTGAGAAAAAAAGAGCAGAAGTAAAATAAAATAACAGTAGGGAGGCTATATATACAGGGGGGTACCGGTGCAGAGTAAATGTGCGGGGGCACCGGCTAGTTGAGGTAGTTGAAGTAATATGTACATGTGGGTAGAGTTAAAGTGACTATGCATAAATAATTAACAGAGTAGCAGCAGCGTAAAAAGATGGGGTGGGGTGGGGGGGCAGTGCAAATAGTCCGGGTAGCCATGATTAGCTGTTTAGGAGTCTTATGGCTTGGGGGTAGAAGCTGTTGAGAAGTCTTTTGGACCTAGACTTGGCACTCCGGTACCGCTTGCCATGCGGTAGCAGAGAGAAGTCTGACTAGGGTGGCTGGAGTCTTTGACAATTTTGAGGGCCTTCCTCTGACACCGCCTGGTATAGAGGTCCTGGATGGCAGGAAGCTTGGCCCCAGTGATGTACTGGGCCGTACGCACTACCCTTTGTAGTGCCTTACGGTCGGAGGCCAAGCAGTTGCCATACCAGGCGGTGATGCAACCAGTCAGGATGCTCTCGATGGTGCAGCTGTATAATTTTTTGAGGATCTGAGGACCCATACCAAATCTTTTCAGTCTCCTGAGGGGGAATAGGCTTTGTCGTGCCCTCTTCACGACTGTCTTGGTGTGTTTGGACCATGATAGTTCGTTGGTGATGTGGACACCAAGGAACTTGAAGCTCTCAACCTGTTCCACTACAGCCCCGTCGATGAGAATGGGGGCGTGCTCAGTCCTCTTTTTTTTCCTGTAGTCCACAATCATCTCCTTTGTCTTGGTCACGTTGAGGGAGAGGTTGTTATCCTGGCACCACATGGCCAGGTCTCTGACCTCCTCCCTATAGGCTGTCTCATCGTTGTCGGTGATCAGGCCTACCACAAAGAAGTCTAGAAATGTACATGTTTTGTGCTCTTGTAGGAAGCAATCACTCCCCTATTGCTGACTACAAATTATCTATAGCTGGCCTAATCACTCACTAACTAGCAAAGGATATTAACAAAATGTGCACACGTGGCTACATGCAGCTCTCAATTTGATCTCAAAACAAGCCCATCTACTCATGACCGCTCATGCTGTAAACAGTCCAGTTCAAAGTAAATGGCACAGATCCATATATGGCAATAGCCTATTTGCACATGACTACTGCAGCTCTGATTGGTTATGGCTCACCAGTCTGTGTAGAGCGTGTCAATGCAATAGAATCCTACTCCGATGCGTTCTGCCTAAAACAAAATCTCTTGCGTAGTTAGTTTTGCATACTAAGTCTTGCCTAGTTCGTTTTGTTTCGGTATGTTGCATTGAAAGTGGCTAATATTGCGTCGATTCGATCACAATTGCCACAGTAAAGGGAAACGTTGATAGTGTTAACAGGGAAAACTAGAAAGTTGGCTAGAGGGAACATTGCTCTAGAGGTGTGTACTGTGTACTGTACTTGGTCAGAGTGCTTGCTGTTGAAGTCAATATTGACCTTAGTCTGGCAGCATTCCTGTCTGGGTAGGGGTGGGTGTGTATATCAGATGCAGGGGCGCAACTTTCATTGGGGACTGGGGGACATGTCCCCCCCACATTCTGAAATTACATTTTTGTCTCCCCCAGTTGTATTATTGGAATGTGATCCAAAACAAGGCAACGGTGTGCTTTAGGACCATGCGGACGCCTCCGTGCGTCGGGTAGGCTGTTAGGAGTGTTTATCCGACTGGGGGGGAAAAATACAAAAAATGTTATGTCCAAAGTTGTGCCCCTGATCAGATGGTATGTTTGCATCATGGTCCATACCTCCAGAGCAGTAGAAGATTGGAAGTGTGTGTGTGAGTGAGTGACTAGCCTGAAGCGTACCATCTAGTTAGAATCTGCCTGGGACAATTCCACCTCTGTCACCATTTGGAAGCACTACATGTTTTTCCACTGTTTTAAAGCCTCGCCCTCCCACCACTGGCCTAAATCACTTCACTGAGGTTTATGGGCGCATCCATCCAAAATGAACGGAGCCATTCCAATGGACATACACATTTCTCTCAACACTGAATCACTGTTGACCCCTCATAAAACGGCAATGATGTGACCCTTAGGTGGTGGTGAGTGTGTGGCTGTTTGGCTCACCCCAGAGGTCTAGTGTTCCATGGCCTATAAGGATAAAATAGGTATTTTATTGGTGGTAGGTCCTCAGAAGTGGTCAGGTTTGACGACAGGGGCGAAAGCACTCTATTTTTGCACAGATATTAGCCTCTGTCATGTGGTTACTCAAGTTCAACAGATATTGAAGCCAAAGATTGATGCTGAAAGTCCCTTTTTATACATGGTGCCTTCAGAAAGTATTCACACCCCTTGACTTTTTCACATTTTGTTGTGTTACAGCCTGAATTTAAAATAGATTAAAGTGAGATTTAGTGTCACTGGCCTACACACATTACCCCATAATGTCAAAGTGGAATGATGTTTTTAGAAATTAATTACAAATGAAAAACTGATATGTCCTGTCAATAAGTATTTAACCACTTTGTTATGGCAAGCCTAAATAAGTTCAGGAGAAAAAATTTGGTTAACAAGTAAAATAAGTTGCATGGACTCACTCTGTGTGCAATAATAGCATTTAACATTTATTTTTTAAAATGATTACCTCATCTCTGTACCCCACATATACAATTATCTGTAAGGTCCCTCAGTCGAGCAGTGAATTTCAAACACAGATTCAACCATAAAGACCAGGGAGGTTTTCTAATGACTTGCAAAGAAGGGCACCTATTGGTAGATAACATTTTTTAAATAATAATAATAAAAAGCAGACATTGAATATCCCTTTGAGCATGGTGAAGTTATTCATTACTCTTTGGATGGTGTATCAATATACCCATTCACTACAAAGATACAGGCGTCCTTCATAACTCAGTTGCCAGAGAGGAAGGAATCTGAGTTTAATAGAGTTTAATAGCTGTGATAGGAGAACTGAGGACGTATCAAAAACATGGCAAAGAAATGCACTTTATGTCCTGAAAACAAACCCCTTATGTTTGGGGCAAATCCAACACAACCCATCACTGAGTACCACTCTTCATATTCTCAAGCATGGTGGTGCCTGCATCATATTATGGGTATGTTTGTCATCGGCAAGAAGTAGGGAGTAGAGCTAAGCACAGGCAAAATCCTAGAGGAAAACCTGGTTTAGTCTCCTTTCCAACAGACACTGTGAGACAAATTCACCTTTCAGCAGGACAATAACTTAAAACACAAGGCCAGATATACACTGGAGTTGCTTACCAAGACAACATTGAATGTTCCTGAGTAGCCTAGTGACAGTTTTGACTTAAATTGGCTTAAATCTATGGCAAGACTTGAAAATGGCTGTCTAGCAGTGATCGTCAACCAATTTGACAGAGCTTGAAGAAATACTCACAGCTGTAATAGCTGCCGAAGGTGATTCTAACATGTATTGACTTAGGGTTGTGAATACTTATATGAATTAGATCTGTATTAATGTTTCTATAAATGTGCAAACATTTCTGAAAATATATTTTCACTCTGTCATTATGGGGTGTTTTGTATAGATCGGTGATGGAAAAAATAATTTAATCAATTTTGATTTCAGGCTGTAACAACAAAATGTGGAATAAGTCAAGGGGTATGAATACTTTCTGAAGGCACTGTATCAGTTGTTTAATGAAAATAGTTTTTGAGAAATGATAGACATGGCGTATAGGCTCTCTCATACAGCCATAATGTAGCTCAACACATCTGGAGTACCAGGCTATTGTATATAAATAGGATTCAAGTACATACTGATATCAACTCACTCACTGTGCCTTTTGCATCATACTAGGAGGTGGACTTCTTGAGCTGCTCTGGAGAGTTGAGCGGCTTTGATGTATGCATCGACAAGGGCACATTTGACGCCATAAGCCTGAACCCAGAGAACACTGAGGAGGGCAAAGCATGTTACATCCAAGCCCTGAAAGGGGCACTGAAGGAGGATGGGCTATTCGTCATCACTTCCTGCAACTGGACTAAGGAACAGCTACTACAGATGTTCAGCCAAGGTGAGTGAACCATCCGAGACACTCCTGGAATGTTGTGAGTGGAACATTGGATTACACTTTTCAGGACTCCTCCATCCCACGGTCAACACAATAACCTAAATATCTGTTTGTTTCCTGAATGCAAAGTTAGTTCTCATCAGTAGCCTTGATTGTTTATGGCATCTTTTATGCCATTATGATGGTAGTTTTGTATGCTCAATAGCAAGTTAAGAATTATCAACAGGGAGGAGGGCAGTCTGTTGGGCTTGTAAAATATTTTTTTGGGGTGGTTCATTTCGGTGTCTGACCTATTATTAAAACATTGATATAATGCCTCAACCAAGACAGCTCTCTGGTCAAGTTATAATATATATAATAATTATTTAGGCTTGCCATAACAAAGTGGTTGAATACTTATTGACAAGACATTTCAGTTTTTCATTTGTAATTAATTTCTAAGTGTCAGGTTATAACAAAAGCAGCCTTGTTTAGCCAGTATTTAGGCAAGCTTCCATTTGCTGTCACCCTTCAGCAGGAGTAAGAGCTGGGGAGGTGCTTTTGGGACCAAGGCCATGTGAACCTCATCTGTCAAAATGACAGCTTGTCTGTACTGGCTTTGAAGATGCACCACAGATGGTGAATGGTAGTTGCTTAAAAACCCACACAAAACCAGTGTCTAGTGCGAGGGTTAGAGGTTTTGAGGGAGTTTTACAGCTTGAAAAAGCAATGCTAACATAGCAAGGTATTAACTCTATGATTGCTGCTCATAAACGTATCTTCTTTGACTTGCAGGGTTTGATTTTGTGAAAGAGCTACCAACACCCCGCTTTCAGTTTGGTGGCAAGACTGGCAACAGTGTGACCGCAATAATCTTCAAACGACTTCACTGACTTTTGCCCTCAAGAAAAACAGCATTCTGAAATGTTGTTTTTATGGACTTTTTCCACAATCATTTATTTCTCAATTGAAAAGTTTCATTTTTGTGGAATGTTTTCAGAAAGGATCACACTAACAATCAGTATTCCACCAAATAAATAAATGTTATTTGTCTTGCACGTTGACATGTTTCCTCTTTCCTTACCTTTTCTCCACATTTTATCAGATTCCAGACATCTGACATCTAAATTCTGCAATGAGAATCCAACCGGCAATGTAAAATTCCTTCACCTTTTATTATGTAAAGTGGCGCAGTGGTCTAAGGCACTGCATTGCAGTGCTAGCTGTGCCACTAGAGATCCTGGTTCGAGGCCAGGCTCTGTCGCAGCCGGCCGCGACCGTGACCGGGAGACCCATGGGCGGTGCACAATTGGTCCAGCGTCGTCCAAGGTAGGGGAGGGTTTGGCCGGCAGGGATGTGGGTTCGTTTCCCACGGGGGGCCAGTATGGGAAGAAAACCTAAAAACAAACAAAAAAACATGTATGTATTCACTAACTGTAAGTCGCTCTGGATAAGAGCGTCTGCTAAATGACTAAAATGTAAATGTATGTAACCGTTCACTCTTTCTGGCATTGCCATATCACTGTACCCTGATGTCTATTACCATATCACTGTACCCTGATGTCCATTGCCATATCACTGTACCCTGATGTCCATTACCATATCACTGTACCCTGATGTCCTTTCACAAAGCTTAGAACTGTCACAAGGAAATGTGGGAGTTAGTGCCACTAAATATGATAGTCAGACACAGCAGAGGGGGCCATTTCTCAGCATTATAAATGCATCAAGCCTTGTCCTCTAATCAGCAGCACATTGTTACTTATCACATTAAATTAGACTATATTCAGATAATTAATGTAATTTGGATTGATTCATCCTAAATCGCCCCCTGGGAAAAAATATAACTTCTGATTGTCAAATAGCTAATCATAAAATAGCTATGTGGCTTTCTAATATTGTACATTTTTGCTAATATTAAAGATACATTATTTCATAATTACAGCTAATTTCCTATGAAACCTTTTAGTTCAGATTGCCATTAGTTCTTGGCATCTTATCATCCCCATTTCCTTTGTTCTTACGTAAGTATTTTTTATCTTTTAAGTGGATTCTCCTGCCTTGTGGCATGAGGTCATCACTGACCCATATGAACTCATCTTCATGTGGATTCAGTTAGCTGCAGTCAGAAGATCATGGAATATTAGGTCTTCCTAGAGTAGGGCACTGATAATCTTGTTCACCGGACACCAGCCATGTGTCCTCTAGCCTGTGTGAGGGAGGCTAGAGAACTGAGAGTACAGGGATAGTATGTAGTCTGTAACCTTTTCAAATGCTTATTAACCAAATAGGGATGGTATCAAGTTCAAAATTGTTATGCATAACTGCAAATCCAGGGAGCGTGTATAGCTAGCTATTCATTAATGTACCTTTGGATTGAGCTGTGGATGTATTCATCCTGTATACCTATGTCAACATTTTCTATTCACAAAAGTCCTCAGTTTTGCAATCCACCTTAATAACCAGCTCCTAATGAATACACAGACATGGTTCAAAGAAAGCGAAGTGATTTCCTGTCTTAACTCTCTGTCATTAATAACTGTCAAACTCTACCTATAATTGGAATCTGGGCGCATGGCCCAATAGGAGCAGTCAATGTGAGGCATGCTGTTGAGTAAACGCATGCAACGTGTTACGAGAATTATTGCCTGGAAATTTACAAGCACTGAATATCCTGCCTGGATGCGCATCATCATAGAATATCAAATCAATGTTCATTAGTCTTGTACACAGTTTAGCAGATGTTGTAGTGGGTGCAGTGAAATGCTTATATACGTATATATGCTTATAAATTGTATACCTTTACACAACCTTTTCCATTGAAACAAGATGCTTCTTGACTCTTCACTCAAATCAATATCGTCCAATTGACATTTACACTGTCTCAGAAGAGACAGCATCTAAGGAGTCTTCAAATGGCTCTTTGCTTGGCTGGCACAGAAACAATGTATTTGTTCTGCACCACAGATTATATTGAATTATGGACTGTAGCTCCCAACTCCTTACAGTGCAGTCGGAAAGTATTCAGACCCCTTGACTTTTTCCACATATTGTAATGTTACAGCCTTATTCTAAAAGGGATTACATTTTTTTTAATCCTCAGCAATCTACACACAATACCCCATAATGACAAAGCGAAAACCATTTTTTTTAGAAATGTTTGCAAATGTATTACAAAAAAAATCAAATAGAAATACCTTATTTACATAAGTATTCAGACCCTTTGCTATGAGATTCGAAATTGAGCTCCGGTGCATCCTGTTTCCATTGATCATCCTTGAGATGTATCTACAACTTGATCGCAGTTCACCTGTGGTAAATTCCATTGATTGGACATGATTTGGAAAGGCACACACCTGTCTATAGAAGGTCCCACAGTTGACAGTGCATGTCAGAGCAAAAACCAAGCCATGAGGTCGAAGGAATTGTCCGTAGAGCTCCGAGACAGCATTGTGTCGAGGCACAGATCTTGGGAAAGGTACCAAAAAATGTCTGCAGCATTGAAGGTCCCCAAGAACACAGTGGCCTCCATCATTCTTAAATAGAAGACGTTTGGAACCATCAAGACTCTTCCTAGAGCTGGCCGCCTGGCCAAATTGAGCAATCGGGGGAGAAGGGCCTTGGTCAGGGAGGTGACCAAGAACCCGATGGTCACCCTGACCGTGCTCCAGAGTTCCTCTGTGGGGATGGGAGAACCTTCCAGATAGACAACCATCTCTGCAGCACTCCACCAATCAGGCCTTTATGGTAGAGTGGCCAGACGGAAGCCACTCCTCAGTAAAAGGCACATGACAGCCTGCTTGGAGTTTGCCAAAAGGCACCTAAAGGAATTAGATTCTCTGGTCTGATGAAACCAAGATTGAACTCTTTGGCCTGAATGCCAAGTGTCACGTCTGGAGGAAACCTGGCACCATCCCTACGGTGAAGCATGGTGGTGGCAGCATCATGCTGTGGGGATGTTTTTCAGCGGCAGGGACTGGGAGACTAGTCAGGATCGAGGCAAAGCTGAACGGAGCAAAGTACAGAGAGATCCTTGGTGAAAACCTGCTCTAGAGCGCTCAGGTCCTCAGACTGGGGCGATGGTTCACCTTCCAACAGGACAATAACCCTAAACACACAGCCAAAACAACGCAGGAGTGGCTTCGGGACAAGTCTCTGAATGTCCTTGAGTGGCCCAGCCAGAGCCCGGACTTGAACCCGATGGAACATCTCTGGAGAGACCTGAAAATAGCTATGCAGCAACGCCCCCCATCCAACCTGACAGAGCTTGAGAGGATCTGCAGAGAAGAATGGGAGAAACTCCCCAAATACAGGTGTGCCAAGCTTGTAGTGTCATACCCAAGAAGAATCAATGCCGTAATCGCTGGCAAAGGTGCTTCAACAAAGTACTGAGTAAAGAGTCTGAATACTTATGTAAATGTATATTTTCGTTTTTAATTATGTATAAATTGGCAAAAGTGTCAAACAGTTTTTGCTTTATCAATATACACACACAATACCCAATAATGACGAGGGGGAAAAACGATTGAATACATTTTTTATTAAGTCTGTAACATAACAAAATGTGGAAAAAGTCAAGGGGTCTGAATACTTCCCGAAGGCACTGTACATAAAGTCCACTCCCTTGCACAGGTGCTGTTGCTAAGAGACGCAGTCACAAATACGGAAACTGGGAGACGGGACAATCCTGTTAATCGAAGTCATGTCATGAGAGTAGTTCAGTCAACTTTTCCACACAGCATTCCTTACTGTCAGGGTATGCTGCTAATGCAGTTGCAAAACACCATTCAAATAATCCTCCAATTGCATCTGTGGAAAGCACCTGATTGTGATCCTGTCACCATGTGCTGAGGGTTTGATAGTGGTTTGTTTGTTAGTTTACGAGGCTGTGAACAGGAACACATCTGGAGCGCTGGTGCTGTTAATGGAACTAAAGCATGCACAATGTACACCTTTTTTTAGGGCAGCAGTCATTAAACTGTCTCCAATAATTTGAGGCCTAGTAAATGATACATTTTGTTGAACAGAGGAGTTTCATTCATCTGCTTGGAGCATGTCATCCTCTTTCAACAGCCACCTGGCATGCCAAGCTAGTTCTAGGGCAGGGGTAAGCAATCCTACCGAAAAGGACTGGTGTGGGTGCAGGCAAAGGTCTGAACCCCACACAAGCCCTCACAGGATAAGATTGTCCTGTTTTAGGATGTCCATTGCCATAGACACAGGATCTGTGTCTCTTGAGTCACAGAAGACATACACTTGCCGCACCCTAACACCATGAATGCTGTACCTTTATTTCATTCTCAGGTGTGATACAGTAAATATTTATGTTTTTAATTCCATCTCCTTGGAAACGTTTGAGACCTCTTAATACGATTTATGTGCGCTGATTGAATTACTCCTGCATGTAGCTGTGCAGTTTTGCATACTGGGGAAGCAATGTGGAAGTGGGAGAGATTCCTCCTTGCCACATTTCAAAACATCTGCCAGGTCCCAGTGAAACCGTACAGGCAGCTCAGTCAACTTCACAGTTACAGAGTACATGGATGTAGCTACTGTAAGTATAATATATCTCTGCATACAATTATTATACATTCATGTAGGCTACTAGGCCTGGCCTAGTATTTTGTTTACGGCTACATAGTTTATATAATTTTAGACCTACTACATGTTTCTACATTACACTTTTTTTTTATCTAGTATATTTTGAAGTAGAACTATACAGACATTACTGTGACAAAGAAGGAACACTTTTAGACATAGGCCTACAAATGGCAATCTAAATTAGAGCATTTAATTAATAGGGCCTAGTATTTAGGCAAGTGTCATAAATTACAGGTTATAAAGGCCTGGAAACAATACGTTTCAATTAATATGCCACAGGCTGCAGTGGCGTCTATTCATTGATGCGAAGGGAAGCCAGGCTTACACCAAAAAATTACGAAGAAAAAAAGTAATAAAAACATACAAAATAACGTGTCTTTCGTCTCTCTGTGTTTCATAAATATCCTTCAATTCGCAAGAGGCTGAATGTATCTCACCGAAGAAAGCATCCAAGCGAACGAAACAGCACCTCTCTTTCTCTATGTGTAACCCATCTATGCTGTCTGGTCAAAACGAGTATGACATTGTTGCCGATGAAAAGATCATGATCATTAGAAAGTATATTACGGACTCCACTTTGAATCTGCGTATTTCTCCAAAGCTCAGTTGTCCTGAGTCTGCACAG